CCTTGCTTTAAGCCACTTCCAAGGAGTTCCTAGCTGAACTCATCTCAGTGAATGCAGGAGTGCCTGAGTCAGGTGCTACAGATACAATGATGAATAGCATAGACATGGTCTGGAATTTATATGTCTCTCAGAGAGAACAAAAACCATCTAAACAGACAAGTGAAAATTTCAAGTTATGTTAAGTGTTATGAACAGAGAGAGAGAGAGAGAGAGAGAGAGAGAGAGAGAGAGAGAGAGAGAGAGAGAGAGAAAGAGAGAGAGAGAGAGAGAGAGAGAGAGAGAGGGAGAGAGAGAGAGAGAGGGAGAGAGAAAGTGTGTGTGTGTTGGGAGACCTCTCTGAGGAATGATATTTAAATGATTACTAAAGGGTGAGAAAGAGTTCCTTATACAAGGTGTGGGGAAGAGCATTCCAGGTAGAGGGAACAGCATACAAAAAGGCCCTCAAGTGGGGAGGTTGGCTTATTCATGCTCCTAGAAGATGCATGGGGGTGGATTGGCAAGAGCAAGGGGACAGTGGTGTAAGATAAAGTCAGAAAATTAGGAAAAAACCATGTTGGGCTTGTAGAACATGTAAAGAGACTTTATTTTATTCTAAATGCAATGGAAAGTCATAGAAAGTGTTATTTTAAAAATTTTTGTAAAATTTTAAAAAATAAGGTATAGTTTACCTGCAATAAAATGCATAGATATTAAATATATAGTTTGATGAGATTTGATAAATGTATAAACCCATGTAACCACTAAATAGTAATACAAAGAAATACAGCTAAAAAGCTAATAGAGGAGATAAAACAAAATGCTTAAAGACAAAAGCTTGATTAAATTAAGGCAGAAAATAATTAGCAATAGAAAGAATAACAGAGAAGACAACAAATAAAATGATTAGCAAAATGGTAGGTTTAAATCGAACCATACTGATAATTACATTAAATGTAAATGAGCACAACAAAATCCCAATTAAAAATGGACGTTGTCAGACTTGAGTTTGAGAAAAAGCGAGACTCAACAAGTAGCTGTTCACAAGAGGTGCACTTTCAACTTAAAGAGACCGACAGGTTGAAAATAAAAGATGGAAAAAAATATACCAGGTGAACACTAAGAATAAGAAAGCAGAGATGGGTATATTAATACCAAACAAAACAGACTTTCAGATGAGGAATGTTACCAAAAATAAAGAAGGTTATTTCAAAATGATGAAAGAATAGATTTATCAGAAGACATGAGAATTCTAAATGTGTATGCGTCTGATAGCAGAGCTTCTAATACATGAAGCAAAAATTGGCAGAACTAGAGGGAGAAATTGGTCTACCCATTTTCTTAGCCAGTAATTTTTATGTTTTCCTGTCAGTGATTGATAGAACAAATAGGAAGAAAATCAGTAAGGATATAGAAGTTTTGGAAAACTCTTATCAACCAACTTGACCTAATTGAAAGTAATAGACTACCACACTCTAAATCTGCAGAACCTACATTCTTCTCAAGCACATGGAATTTTCACGTATCTTTACCAAATTCTGGGCCATAAAAAGTCAATAAATGTCAAAAATTTGAAATCATATAGAATATATTTATGACCACAATTAAGTTGAAATTAGTAACATTAAGGTATTTAGAAACACTCCCACCCTCCCAAATATTTGGAAATTCAATAAAATACTTAAAAATAATCCATGAATCAATGAAGAAATCACAAGGGAAATATAAATTTTTTGATTTAGAGATAATAGTACCTACTCTAGAGATTATAAGATGCATCCTTGACTTATCACAGCCTACCTTGATTTAATAATATACCACTTCATGTACTCTTTCTCCTGTGCTTTATGGTATGGTTGCACATGCAGATAAATTCACAAGACATTGTTATTATTTTTGCTTTACACAGTAAATTGTCTTTTACAGAATTTAAGAACTAAAAGAACTGCCTGTGTATTATGAATTTCCATGTTACATTATTTTCCTTTTCAGCCTGAAGACTCCTTTTAGTCCTTCTTCTAGTGCAGGCCAGATGGCAATTCATTTCTTACATTTCCCTTATCTGAAATGTCTTTATTTTGCTTTCATTTACTAAATATAGAGTTCTAGGTTACTAGGTTGAAGGTTTTTTTTTTTTATCACTTTAAATATGTTGTTCCATTGTCTTCTGTCTTGTATTGTTCTTGATGATAAGTTAGCTGTCATTTTTATCATTGTTCTCTTGTATGCACCCCCAAACCTTCTCCTATTGCCTGCTTTCAATAGGTTTTCTTTATTTTTGGTTTTCAGAAATTCAAGTATATGCTTAAGAATAGTTTGGTTTATATTTTCCTAGTTTGGATTCATAGAGCTTTCTGGACCTGAGTTGATTTTTTGATAACTTGGGGAAAATTTTAGCTATTATTTCTTTAATTTGTTTCTGCTCCTTTTTATCTCTCCTGTCTTTCTGGGGCTCTAATAACATGGATATTAGTCTACTTGCTACTGTTCTGCAGGTCACTGGGGCTCTGTGTATTTTTTCCATTTTTCCTCCCTATGCTTGAGTTTGGACAATTTCTCTTGATCAGTCTTTAAATTCATTGATTCTTTCTTTTCTTCAGTTAATTCAATCCAGTGAGTTTTTGATTTAGGGTATCATGTTCTAGTTCTAGGATTTCTATCTGATCTTGTTTGAAGTTTTCAGGTTGCTCCTAAAACTCCCCATTTCTTTTTCCATTAAATGCATTTTTTTCTCTCTAGACTCTTTGACATATTTATTTTAATTACAGCATCCCCCTTTATCCATGGTTGTGCTTTCTACGGTTTCAGTTACTTGTGGTCAACTCTGGTCCAGAAACAGATGATCCTCCTTCTGATGTGTTGTCAGAAGATTACTAGTAGCCTAATGCTATGTCACAGGGCTTACAGTACTCACCACACTTCATCTCATCATGTAGGCATTTTATGATCTCACATAATCACAATAAGAAGGGTAAGAACATTACAATAAGATATTTTGAGAGAGAGAGAGATCACATTTAATAATACTTTTATTACAGTATATTGTTATACTTGCTCTATTTTATTATTAATTATCTTATTATGCTTAATTTATAAATTAAACTTTATCATAGGTATGTATGCATAGGAAAAATCATAGGACATATAGGGTTTGGTATTGTCCATGGCTTCAGGCAGCTACTGTGGGTTTTGGAACATACCTCCATGGAGAAGGGGGGACTACTGTATTTTAAAGTTCCTGCCTGCTAACTGCAGTATCAGGGTAATTTGTATGTCTGTTTCTATGGAATGATTTTTTTTCTCTTGAGTATGTATCAAATTTTTCCATTCCTTTGCATGAACATTTTTATTGTGTATTAGATATTTGTGCAAGAAATGTTGAAGAGACTCTTAATTCTCTTTCCTTTGATGAATGTTAAGTGTGCTTCTAGCAGGTAGTTAGACTATTTGTGGTTCACCTTGAACTAAAGAAGCCTCGATTTTAAACTGCATTAGGGAGAGTTTATTTCAATATTTCTTAGTTCAAGGGTGAAAATTTTAGTCCTGGAACATTGTCTTACTGCTAAGGCTTCACCCTTCTGAAATTTCAGTGGAAAACTGAGTTATTTACCTAGTCCCTTTATCTTGGTGGGATTCAGACTCCAAACTGTGGCTCCCCTGTGGTATGTGACAGCTAAAATTTCTGCTCAGCCCTTTTAGCTGTCTACCCATTCTTTTATCCCTGGACTCCTTCTAGGTCCCTCTAAGCATATGTAATTCAAGGTTTAACTAAGGATTTGAAGGGAATTTATTTGCAGATTTGGGAACTTCTTTCTGGCTTCCTTTCTTGAGGTTTTTCCCTTTAGTTTCCAGCTGTTTTATCAGTTTCAAATCTGTCCTTTGACTTCTCAGGCAAAAATAACTATAATTTTCTGCTTGACTTCCAATGGTCTGGTGCCATATAGACTGTGCTCCTGGGACAAATCACTTAAACATGATTCTTGCCCCTTATGGTTCCCCTTTCAAGGATCAAATAACCTATGGTCCAGCCCTGATTGTGGTTATCCAGTGTTTTTAAACAATTGTTTTAAATATTTGTCAAGAATTAAAATTGTTATATGTAGAAGGTTAGTCCAATATAAGCTACTTTACCATTACCAGAACCAGAACTTCATTGATGGTTTTAATCAGGGAAGTGACACTAGACTTATATTGTATGAAACTCATTCCGGAAGATGTGCAGAGACGTAGAGTAGGGGGCAAGAATGGAGGTGGGAAGACAAATTAAGACGACTGTCAGAGCACAGTGGTAGATGATGACTGCTTGGACTAGATGACAGAGGACCCTGGTCACGACAAACAGGGGATGAGTCAGGGAAGCACTTTTGTCCAATTCTGGTGATGAATGGGAATGGATGAGGAAAAGAAGTAAGTCAAGGACGACTCCTGGATTTCAGGTTTGAGCAGCTGAGTAATGAAACCATTTACCAAGATAGGTAAGATGGGAGAAGAATAAGATTTGGGACAAAAATCAAGTTGCGTTTTGTGTATAATTCTTAAGATGACAGTAAGATAAACAGTTGTGAAACAAACTCAATTCATAAGTTTGGACCCAGGGAAGGACGACTCCTGGATTTCAGGTTTGAGCAGCTGAGTAATGAAACCATTTACCAAGATAGGTAAGATGGGAGAAGAATGAGATTTGGGACAAAAATCAAGTTGCGTTTTGTGTATAATTCTTAAGATGACAGTAAGATAAACAATTGTGAAACAGAAACTCAATTCATAAGTTTGGACCCAGGGGAGAGGTCTAATTTAATAAGTCTGAACTGCTAGAACTTGAGCAAGATGTACGTATGTGGAGGGAAGGAATGCTATCTAGGGGGCTGAGAACCCACAAGGGTTAGTTAAGAGTTGGCTGTTGACCTTCTCAACTCTAGGTGAAACCACTGGATAGGGGAGATGAGAACCTTGAAAAGGAAGCCTACTTATGACTGGGATGTTCTGGGGAGGCTGACTAAGGCTGCTTCTTCTCCTGGATACAGGGTTACAGGGAAGAGAAGATCCAAGGTGATTGCTGTGGGAGGTGTCTGCCCATGGTGTGCACCGTCCAGCTGAGAGGAGGCCAGAGCATGACTCTGAAGGTGGGAGCAAATGGAACTCAAAGAATTCTCTTTCATATCACCATCTGGTTCCTATTTTGGGATCTTTCCTTCAAAAAAGAGGGACTAACTGTGGGTCAGTATTGGCTTCTTTCCCCATCTATTTCTGATTTTATAAAGAAGAGATGGGCAACCTATAGAGGCTACAGACTTTTCTCTTTGATTTAGTTATTTGGCGACTCTTCTTGATAAGATTATGGTTGGTGTACGGACCCATGGTTTGGAGTTGGTTGATCTTTACATTTTTTTCCAGCCTTGTTTGTCTGTGAGATTGAACAGGCAATGAGCGTGACATGACTCTGGTCTGTGAAATCCAGAATTAGCTGGTGGGGCTTGGAGGTGGTGCCCCAGTTCACCGCTATTTCAGTTATTGATTAGCCAGTTTCCCCCCACTTTGCCCTAATTCTTTAGGCTGTGATGAGGTCAAAGAGTTTGGAGATCCTCTACATTTATGCAGCCCTATTCATAGTAAATAAGTTGTAAAACTAAGACTCCACCCCTACTCTGTGTTCTGGGGGTGGAGACTTTAGAGATACTGTCTCATCTGTAGTCCTCCATAGTCCGTAGTTCCATAGCCCTCCAAATTGCTTCAACTCCAAAAAAAAGGAGCCAAGGTCATGGTCTGAAGTGGCTTTGTAAAACCCCAGTGCTGCTTCAGATGTGCTCTACCCACTTCTCCTCTTCCCTTTCAGCATGGTGAGACAATCCAGGATGGCTGTGACAGTCACTTCTGCAAAGTCAATGAGAGAGGGGAGTACATCTGGGAGAAGAGGGTCACCGGCTGCCCACTCTTTGATCAGCACAAATGTCTGGCCGAGGGAGTGAGTAGTCAGCTCAGGTCCTGCTTTCCTCGTGACCATTTCCATCTTTGACACTAAAGACAGAGTCCTTCTGAACACCGTGCAGTCCAGAGTGGACATGACCTCCCCAGTGGCCAAGGGAGGTCCCTGACTTCATTTCATAGTTAATGAAATTACAAAATCAAAGCTTGATGGAGAGAGAAAAATCTCTACACTATGTGATGCTTTAAAAAAATACCTTTCCCTTGGGGACCTGAATCCATGATCCTTGAATGGGAAGGTGAGAGAGCTCACTGCTTCCTAGGCTCTCCTGGGAATAAGGATCCTGATGACTCAATTGGAAGGTAATTCAGAATAATCAGAATTGTTTCAGCCTGGCCAATTAGGGTGGAAGGTCTGCTCACACTTGTGCCGGGAAAGCACAGTTTGCATCCAACACTTAAGTCTGGGCTGTGAGTCCAGAGTCAGGAATTGTTCTGAAATGACCTGAATGCTGTCCACCATGCACTGTTTGTGCCTAATCTGGGACTTTGTTATTTTCTTAGGGGAAAGTCCTGAAAATTCCTGGCACCTGCTGTGACACATGTAAGTACATTACCAACAGCTGGTCCATCAGACTAAATCCAGGGACTCTTCTCTGGAGTCAGCTTTATTCTGAAAAGATACTGCTCCATCACTGGCCAGTCATTCCATTCCATTCTGCAGGGAACTGCCATCTCACCCTGAATGTCCCTAGACTGTGCCCTGCTCAAATCCCCTTTCAAATGCCTGTGAAACAGTCTCTACACGTTTCTTCCAAACTCCTTACTCTCTCTAGTCTGTCATCTGCCTTTTGCCTCATAGAGGCTTTGTTTGTTTATAGTCCTATCATGAGAGAACATCTTTCTCCAACCAGAGCTTCTTGAAGATGAGCACCCTTGATTTGTGATCTTTTAAAAAAAATTTTTTTATTAAGGTATTATTGATATACACTCTTATGAAGGTTTCACATGAAAAAACAATGTGGTTTCTACATTCACCCATATTATCGAGTCTCCCCCCCATACCCCATTGCAGTTACTGTCCATCAGGTAGTAACTGATCTGTGATCTTGACTGAGCAGAAACTCAATATGCATTTACTCTTTGAGTGCCTGGCAGCTAACTCAGAGAGAGGGAAGCCACGGGCTGGGAATGGTAGCTCCCACTGCGTGCTATGGGGTTGTGGAGAGCACAGTTGTCTCGAGCTTGAGGATTCATAAGGCTGGTCTCAGTTTATTAGCCTCCCTTCCTTCACCCTTGGCCCATCTTGACCTTGCAACTGTGTTATTCTGGTTGGTCCTAATAGCTCACAGCAGCAGCTTCTAAGGTGGAGTCCAGTAAGTCTGCACACCAGACAGTATTCTTACCACACATTCTTGTGCTTATGAGCATGAGTAACTTTCAGAATCCGAACATTAGTGCTATATTCTCTGAATATGGAATTACTTGCCTGGACTAATATTTTTTATTTTTAGTTTAATTTTTTTTT